AAGACAACATATGGAATGCAAAGACGATATTTACATGTTGGAGGACTGATGGCAGCCCAGAGGGTCCACTGCATGGGTCCTGCCTGTTCCTGTTAGTCTGAGTCTTCTGATAAATATCTGCTCCACCTCCTCTCCTCATCCTCTAAACTCTCTCATCTGTCACCCTTAGAAAATTCAAGATCATTCTCAGCACAAACTGACAACATGCTGGGGACCCTCTGCTCTCTAATCACAGCTCTAACATGTAAGCAGGATGACTTACTGCAGACTGGAGCTCCTGTTGGATTCATCAGTATGTGTGTTTCTCTAAACTTTATACCTTCTTGTTGTTTCCAGGTGTGAGTGGTGTGACAGTGGTGACACAGAAGCCTTCAGTTCTGACGGTGAGGAAAGGAGAGACAGCCACCATGGACTGTAACCTGGGGACTGTTACTGACAGTGGCCCTCGTTGGTACAGACAGATCCCAGGAGGAGTTCCTCTCTATATGCTGAGGTTTTATCATGGCTGGAGTTCACCCAGATATGACACTGGGTTCCCTTCTGCAAGACACACTTCCACTCATCAATCAACATCAGATTATCGTTTGATTATCAGCAATGTTGAAAAAGGAGACGCTGCAGTTTATTACTGTAGCACATGGGATGACTCTGCTGAAGAGTTGGTATCACAGTGATTCACACCATGACAAAAACCTTGTCAATACTTCTGCTTTTTAACTTGTTGATATGTGATGCATAAAGGATAATAACTTCAAGGCCGAATTTTAGATCCTTTAAGTCTTCATTTAATGTAAATACAAATCCCTTTTGGTGAAATATTATGGTTATTTAAGCTTATTTATTAAACACAGAACAATGACAGTGAGAATGCTCTATTAATATTGAATGAAAAAAAAAACAAAGCCAAGACCCCCTATTAAAAAAAACAATACCAGATTATAAGAAATCCCATCTCAGTTTAACAACTAAACTAAGGAAAGCACACAATCTGGACCTAATAAAGTATTTTCTGAATTGTTTTATATTTGCTAAAGTAATAAAGTCTTATTAACAGCTTGATTAATGATTTACTTCAGTCTCAATGTAAAATCAAGGATCATATGTTTACCCTTCCGCAATCACAGTACCATTATCAACAGAACTTTATTTTTCATCTTTAATGATCAGAAACCAAAGAAATATAAATTATTCACCCAAAAAAGCTAAAACTTCATAAGAAAAATAAAATTAAACCATTATTTTTTTTTCATGTAAGCTCCAGGAAAATAGAACCTTAAACATTGCTTTTAAGACTGAAAGTAAATGTTCTTTTTTTGCCCTGTTTTCATTTACCTAGATTGTTATACTTTGAGTCAGCCTTCTGTTTTAAAGGTTCAACTCACAGCTATATTTTTAGGAACACAAACTGAAAACAAGCAAATTTTACATATATAAAAAAAAAAGCTGTGTAAAAATGACATCTCTTCTCTTTCATTTCAAAAGCTTACATCTATGTACGATTTTATTGAATATGTCAAACAGCACAAGTCTTTGTAGTGAAGTTTTTGCCTTTAATCAATGTTAAGTCCTATCATTGTCAGAGCCATCCCATCTTTTACAGTAATAAACAGCAGAGTCCTGCTACTCTACTTCGTTGATGATGAAAATATTATCTAATTTTGATTAATGGTCGGATGTGAACTTTGGAGATAAAAACTTAGAGCCATACCAGGCTGAACAATCAACATCATGATAGATCAGCACAGACTGTGTGAATTTACCTAGAAATACACCAACAAGCAGGACTGACAGTAACAGTCCCCAGGTAACATTTTATGTTGGCTGTGTGACCTTTCCTCACTGTCAGACCAGAAGGACCCTCACAAAATAGGTTAACAGTGCTCTCCCTTGAATCAAGATGAGAACGTAATATAAAGTCTATTCATTTCGATTAAGAAATGAGAAATACAGACTATTTTTTGTTTTGTTTATTTTTTTCTTTAATTTTGGTCTAATAATGCTCCAGGAATACATCACCATTGAGGCATTTGACATGTTTTCAGTGAAAGTTGGTCTCAGCAGGTTTCAGTTCCACTCGCTGATCAGAGACAATCAGGAGGTTTTTGTATGGCCATGTATACAAACTGAATCACTGTGGTATTCGGCCAAGGAACCAAGCTGATTGTAACAGGTAAGGATTTGTTTTAATTACTTTAAAATAAGAGTTTTTCTAATTTTCTGTTTCATTGTCAAAGAATTACTTTTAAATATATGCTTAAAGATTGAATGTTCATATTTTGGCGATTTTTTTGTATAAATGTTTTACTTTGATCAAAAGTAAGGATCTACTGCAACTGATGAACGGAGTTGAAGTAAATTATGTAAAACTGTTACAAAAGGCTGTATCATGTTCTGTCAAATTTAACATGTTTTACAAATTGATTCTTTCCTCCTGAGACTGAAAGAAACCACATGATACAGAAATATTTCTTCTGAAATGATAAAAGTCGATAAAAACATCCAGAATTGTACTATTATTTTGAGGTAAAAATGACAGAAGAAGTGGTATCATACAATTTGCTTTTTACTTTTTTGTTAACAGTGAAATTTTAATGGGATCAATTTTTTGTAATTAATGATTCTCTTAAACTTTATTTCATATTAAACTAAATATATTTTACATTTTAGATTACATCTGACCATCTTTTAAAAACGAATACCTCATAACAAAAATGAGGTTGTAAATATTACCTTTCCCATAGTAAATTCACAAGAATATAAATTTTAATAGATAATGTTTTTCTATCTGTCATAGGGATGTCATGTTCATTATCTTGTGTTTTAAGTGGCAACTGACTGGAGGATAAAGTTATTCAAATCCTTAATATGTAGTTTAATTTCTGTCTAATCAAAAAAAAAAAAATAAATAAGCTCACAAACTTTGGTAGAATAACAGAAAATGCTAAACAGCTTCGGTGTCATTATGTAGGTTTTTTTGTTGTTGTTTTTTGTTTGTTTTTTTATCAAAGTTAAGATCATTGATGACCCATGTTTTGATTCAACCAAGTGCTATTTCATTGCTGGCATAACTGTGTTATCTGATAATGTCCTCCATGTCCTTCCAGACTCCAGTCTCCCTCCTCCTGTCCTGACTGTCTTCCCTCCATCCAGTGCTGAGCTGCAGACCAACAAAGCCACTCTGCTCTGTCTGTCCAGTCAGTCTGGGCCTTTTGCAGATGTGAGCTGGTTGGTTGGTGGGAGTCCAGTGACCAGTGGGATCTCTACCAGCACTGCTGTTCAGAGACCAGACCAGACTTTCCACATCAGCAGTTCTCTGTCCATCCGGACATCAGACTGGAACATGAATAAGGTTTATACCTGTAAAGTGTCTTTGGGCTCCCAGACTGCAGAGAAAACAATCAACAAGTCAGGATGTCCTGCTGAAGAACAGTAGAGGACCACAATCATCTATAATCTGCTTCTTTATTGCTATTTTTTCTGTTTCTTTTATTGTTTTTTATTTTTCGTTTTGTTTTATTTCTAAAAACCTTAGATATAGTTGCTACAAGCATGAATCTATCATTTTTGATGTATTTCTAATTAGCCTTGCATTTAATAAATAAAAAACAGCAAAGAGAATAACAAGTGGGTGTCTTAACATTTTTATTGTGTTGTGATTTAGTACTTTGACTCTTTCAGGAATAAAAAAAACAATAAAGCAAACATAAGTGGGTTTTTGACATGAAATTGTAAATTTCATCTTTTGATTAGTGCTATAAAGCAATGATGTAAAAAAATGACAAAAAATGTTTTTTTCTCAGTCAATCATTTAGAATGAGAGAAATATCTAAAACAGTGATGAAAAAGTGAAACTGAAGAGTCAGTGAATTATTTCTCATCTCACAGGATACACCTGCAGGTATCATCTTCTTTTTCTTCTTACAGTTTATGCAAATGATAGGGACATTTCCTGAGACATGTTTTAACTGACACTTTCTGAACGTGTAACAGATTTAACTATTTTCATGCATATGTGCAAAGCCTGAAATTAGCGGTCGGTTAACCAATAGTTCAAATTAAAATTCCCTCAACAAACATCATTAAGAATCAAGATCAAAATATGATTCATACAGACTGATCACAGTTTCTTCTCTTGTCCCTTATTCATAAACATTGCGCAGCACTTTTAGCAGTCCCTATCCTCATTCTTTAACAGATAAGGACTTATATCAACTCTGGTATATAAACTAATTATGATTTAGAGAACAAGAAATTAGCATTATCAATTCAGACAGTTGAGCCCTTCATTTAAATATGGTATAAAAACTGAGGCGAGGTTTGCAGCTGCATCCTGTAAGTAAAGGGAGTAAAGTTCAGAGAGATGATGCTTCACTTATCAAGGATGAAAATGTGGTTTCATTTATCATCATCTTTCAAAAGGTTGACAGTTTTTTACTCAGCTCAAAAAAACAAGATCTCAAATATTTTTTTGCTTGTGTTATTAGTAATATAATTTGGCCTATGTGTTATGAATTACTGGGAAAGCATTCGCCAAAAGCGGAACAGAGTGATTCATTTGAAACTGGAAATTTCGCTTTCACTAAAGGGTCATAAAATAGCTAATTATGTTCTTTCATTTATTCATTTTATTGATTAGCTTTCTAAACTCATAAAAATACAGAACCATTTTGCAACATTTACTGTAAGACAGATAACAGATTTGATCTTTTGTCTTTCCTCGCCCAAGAGGAACAAAGATAAAAACCACATCCCCTTTCTATTAAATAGAAACATATTTTTACATTCTCCAATGATCGCTTTATGAGTTCATATTTCTTAAATCTTTCATTTAAAGTGATGAATGATCAAATTGGCTGTGTGCTCTATCTAGCTGTTCTGTATACACTGTTTTGTTTTACCATTTTAACTATCTTTTTTGTGTTCTTCTTTTGTATTTTGACTAAAATACTGTAAAGGGTTATAAATTGCGTTTTACAATGCAATAGAAGTAATTTTTAGCTAGGTTGATTCTAAGATCATAGGTTTTAGGGGTGTAAGCACCCAGAGAGCTGTCTTGCAGAACAAGATTAATTTCACTGCTTTCTACACATATTTTTGAAACTTGTTCAGTGCATTTTGCTAATGACTGACTCCATCATTAACTACTGCATCGTATCAGAGACGTTTGCCAAAAACCTAACAAGAAAAGCAAAAAGCAAAATTTTTTAGAAGAACCAATTAACCAATTAAAGCTTTTAAATGAACTTATGTCACGGAAACCTTTGAATCAGTTTTCATGAAAGAAGTTTTCTCCTATGTGTGCCACAATTACTCCCATGATATATGTAAAATAATCTACTGAATGAAATGTTTTTCTTTGTCAGTTTAACAACTGCTGTTTTTCCTGCTGCTATTCTGTCTGTTTTCTTACCTGGTTTTTCCTGACCTGTTATTTTGCACACAGCTTGCTCCACTGCTCCCCCTTGTACACCTCTCCCTCTTTAGACTGGCAATCATTAATAATTCATTATAAATTCAAATAACTAGAAACTGAAAAAAATTATAACTATTAACTAATGATTCAGTAAATTTAGATATTGATATTGAGTTTTGGTTTTAAACACAATTAAACAAACCAGTCTCAGACACATTAGAGCACCTCGCTGATGAACATTTCACCAACAAACCATCAATAGGTGCAGAAATCTTACTGATAATTTCAGAAACACCTGAATGCAATGTTTTCCTCAAATTGTTGGTCAAAATTTAAGTTAAGGAGCTCCATCAGGCTTGTTTACTTGTTTTTTTGTTTGTTCATTATTATTACTGATGAACCAGAACATAATTGAAGGGTTTAAATAACTAAATGCTGTATAGTTTTTTCTACAATGTCACTTTTGTTTTTTGTTTTATGCTTTTTATTGTAAAAAGCGCATACAGTATAAAAAAAACTTATATTTTAGGGGTGCTTTGATTCAAATTAGGGTAGCTTCAGCACCCCCAAAAATAGGCTAAGAACACCTACACTTTTCACTTTTTTAGGCTGCATTTTGTTTGTGGCGTATAAAAAAGATAAGTAGATAAAGGGTGCCACCTTGTGTCAGAGTGCTTTACTAAGAAAAGTGGCAAAATATAAAAGTCATGCCTGTTACAATGCCTTTTATGACCAGGATTTCAGTATTCTATTCTTACACTAAGCAGTGATCTCCTTAAAAAGAACAAGTCAGTAAGCAGTTTTATGGTCTCTATGTGGCTGTCCTCCTTGCTCTGCGTTGGTTGACTTATGAGCCTCCTTTGTGCTTGCAGTCAAGAAAGAAAATGGGAAAAGTCCCTAACATGAGTCCAGCATCTTTAAGATAATCCATAAGAACTTCAATTTTATCAAACTTTGAGGGGAGCCTCTAAGAGAGATTGGATCCCTAACACATACAGACATCCACACTAATAGTCCTTTTAACTTTTTAAAGATCTTTAGCTGTGTGATGCTACATCGAAAAAATTAAGGAACACAACCAAATCTTAAATTAAAAAAGTCATAAGCCGTGAAGATGAAACAACCTCACAATCAAATAAAAAAAATAAAACAAAAAGGCAAAAAGAAACAAGACTACTGTAAAATCTTTTCCCTCTTTTTCTTTGGCTCAATCTTTGCAGTAAGATCATCTAAAATGTTACATAATGCTTGCATGTTGTAAGAGGTCTAAGAATATGTTGACTGTCTTTTTTTGTATAAAAAATACCTGATTTTTGAGAATCAGTTCAAACTATCATTTGCAAACTTTAGGTGACTTGTTTCTGTTGCATGACTGCAGTGCAGTGGGATTCAGCTGGTGTATTAATGGAGATCAGAGGCATGGTCATTGATAAACATCACTATAACTTTACAAAAGCAAACTTCCGGTTATCTAGTACCTGGGTCAGGTTGGAGCAAGTCTTGCTGCCCTTCAAGCATCAAGTTGTACTGACTGGTTTTGGTGCAACAGCACCAACTGTGTCCCTGATTCAGCAGAGGTGTTTGAGTAGCACTATTCCTGAGAAATAACATTCTCAGTGTCTACAGTAATCCAGTATGTTAACCTTCTGGGCTGACAGAACCAGCCAACATTAGTCTCTGTAACATCCAGAGGTTATTGAAACCTACTGATTAGCAAACACTCAAAAGAATGAATTAAGTGAAAAATATTATTGATTTCAGCAGTGAGTGAGTTTAAGGTTTCCATGCATCTGTAGGACAGAATTTAATGAAAACCTACACAACTTCCACCAGGAAGATTTCCACCAGGGGATTCTTTTCACTTTCACCCATCCTTAATAAACTGGTATGTTTCTTTTAACAATAAAAAAGATCTAGAATTAGTGTATTTAAATCATGTTGTTAAGGAATGTAATATAGCATTCACACTTAATGTTTTATATGAGAGTTATTTTGCTTTTTGCTTCTAATATTTTTGTGATGATTTTATTTTATTTTAATGTATCCACTAATAAAAAGTGACAAAATGCTTTGTTTGGTTTTTATGTCAAAATCGTTTTGTCAATTTATTTTGTCATATAAGTCTTTTAGAATGAATTTCAAACCTCTATGATAAAAAGAATTGCAGGAAAAATACTTTGAATCATTTTTTCTTTATTTTTATTATTTATTTATTTTAATTTCAGGTTGTTTGCATTGCCTGATAACCAAACATGCATATGTTTAATCCTTAAACATATGCATGTTTGATTATCAGGCAAAACTTAAACTGTAACATAATTACTACAATATTTCAATATAATTGACCAAGATTGTTCAAATCACTGTCAGTCTGTTCATCACCTAAATCAGAGATGAACAAAACTGTCAGTCAACCAGTGATAATTGTATGAATCACAATCAAATTATACCATACAAGTAACTTGAATTCTTTCTGCTTACATCTATGAAAACTGCAACGTTCATAGATTAGGTCTGAAAGTCAGTGTTTTTCAAAACAAAATCTGTAATTACACTCATTCTTAGTTTTACTATCATTGCATAGGAATGCATGGCCAGATGTACAAGAGGACTAAAAGGCAGCCAGCGGTCAGTCTCTGGTTTTGCCTGCAGCAATGCTAATTTTGTTCCAGCCCCCTGCTGCTCAGTTCAGCACAGCCAAAGGAAAGAATGACTCCAGTTGAGCTGCAGGATCAGAGGGGAGTAGAATGTGGCCTTCTACTTTCTGTTTTTCAGCTCAGAGACACATCAGCTTCTTAGCTGCTACCTATTATTTTCTCTCAATAACACATCACTGACAAAGACTTTATGAAAAGAGTTTAAGTAAATAATTATAACTGATGCATACTGGACCAATTGAAATCAATTATATTTTCAATACCGATAACTTACATGGCATACAGGCATTTTATATAAACGTTTAATGCGATTAACTTACTCTTACCTAGATATTGAGGTCAAAAAGAGATTTTTTTTTATAAACCTCACTTTATACCAAATTATCTTAATGGCTTTTTATTCCATACTGAAATATATTGAGTGTTCCTGATCATGTTAGTGCAAGTGACATTAGTTAGGCCTCAAAATGACTCAAACAGAAGAGGAAGATAAACACCCAAAGCTTTAATAAATGTAAAAATAAATACAAAAAAGCATCACATTTTTTCTTTACTATTAAAGTATTAGTAAATTAGATTGTGAAGCACCTTTGAAATGATAAAACAAATTATTTTGAGGGTTGCGTTTGACAAATAATGGCAGTCTAATACCTTCTGGTGGTCACAGTGGGTTACTGCAGAGGTACGTTTCAGATTTTACTCTTAATACCATCATTTAATAGAAATCAATCGCCACCACAGCATAGAAATCATACCAACCAGTGATTGATCATAAATACACAAAAAGATGGTATAGAATTGTAACTTATTCTTGCAATAAAGTTATGAACTAGTACAAGAAAGCAATGATTTTGAGAACATATTGTCTTCGGATTTTTTTTCAATATGACAAACTGATTATAAAAAGGCAAGGCAAGTTCATTTGTATAACATATTTAAGTGGCAAGACAATTTGAAGTTCTAATAAACAATGCCTTTATAAAGGCAAGTTAGTTTAACCCAGTTATACAGACATAATTCCTTCCTATTCTTGTTATTAAAAATTATGCAGTCTGGTTCAGTTTGTTAAGCCAGTTTTTACAAGTAATTTTTTCCCCATCAGAAACTGAACTCAAATCAACTTAGTCATTAACTTTGCTGTATACCAAGCATGCAAATGGCAACGGTGGGAAGCAAAACTCCCAAGATTTCTTCTCAGTTGTTGTATTTTTTTATCTGAGAAAATGCTACAGCAGCAACTATTTTCATGACAGCTTCACAGCAGCTGAAATATTACAACAAAGCAGTAACCTTCCTTTTTCACTGGCCCTGAAAGATGTCTCTTTGATTGATGGCTGCACAATGGTATCAAAGGTGAGCCGAGCTTTCACTCTGTGTCATCAATATATATCAGAGTCTTTTAAGTGTCTGTAAGTGTTGTCGTGCTACAATAATGTTGCAGAAATACCAATTGCAGTAGGCATTGCATCTCTGCTCTCTCCATTAACAGGCTCAGGACAATCTTAAAGCCTAGAATTCTTCAGATGTCATATTCTCCTTGTCTTTATTGTAAGTTTTATTTGGTAACAGGTATGATTTAGATAAGCCATTCTTCAAAACGTAAATTTAAAAAATGTATCTAAGTAAAAGTAAGGATTTTAAAACACTTTACCTAAAAAATACTAACACTTGAAAAATGTAGTCTTTAACAATCTAAGAGTAAAAATGAATTAGTAAATTTTCCCCTTCAGTGACTACTATGTTTTTTTCACTGTGGGGGTGTTACGTCTCCAATTATTATTAAGCAAATTATAAGATTTGAATTATTAAAAGGTTTTTTTGGTTAAGTTAATAATGCAATAAATACATTACGTGTCTCTTTAACTAAACTTATTCTGTTTAAGGTCAAAGCATCATGGTTTCCTCCTGATTCTTTCAGTTAATGAGCTCAGTTAGGGGAAAAGCATAAAAATAAATCCCTCAACACTACTGACAAATACAGTATCACATTACATCTTCAAAAGAATTAACATGACAGTTTGTAACTTGGATAACCTGCCATTGAAATTACATTTTTTTTTTTTTTACATTTTTACAATATTATATCATTATATTGCATAAATAGGATCATTTTTGGTGCAAATATTAAAAATACAGTTTTTCTAGTTCAGAAAGATAACTTCCATGCTCTTTAACAAAGATGGCCGCATTGTGATGTGACTCTTAATAAAGATAACTCTCACATTTTAGGAGATACTGATTTATGCTCACACCTAATAGATTAGTTTGTAATGAAATTATAAGTTGATTTTAAATTTATTAATATGGATGTCCCAATCTGTTGTTGATATCTTTTTTAAGCTTTTTTTAAGTGGTTTTACCATTTTCATCCACCTCTTATTAGTTTTTAATATTTCATTGATTAATTTGGTATTTATAGTTTTACTACGTACTATACTGTAGAAAAAACAAAATCCCATTTGTTTACATAAAAATAATGATAATAAAACTGGTATTTATATGTAAATTCTAGTATTCCTCTTCAGTAAAATATTGTTGGGTGATTTATTTCTCAAATGTCCATAATATTCATGTGTACAAACATTTTAATATAAAATCCATATTAGTTAATTTATATTCCTTAAGTTCCTACAGTACATTTCCTTCAAGTACAAATACACCAGACCTCTGTGTATTCCTCTACATACAATTATACATTTTGTACCTTCAATCCTGTTAATAGTGAAAAACTTTAATCCAGTTTGATTCAATCGTATTAATTGTTATAAAATGCTATTTCCCATCAAATATAATCTTGAGGTACTCAGAAAGTTGTTGTTTTTTTTATTCAGAAGGAAGAAATCAAGTCAATCCAATCAAGTGGATAGATGCAGATTTATTTGCAAACATTCCAGTTTAACCTAGTTTTAATACAGTGCTGACCCTGTTTGACTTTTCCTTTTTTACACTTGTCACACTTCAGTGTTTTACAACATCAAACATGTAGATATATTAGTGAAAACACAGATAAATATCACGTTTATACAATATAATTAACAAAAAATTATTTTCTCAAGTGACAGTAATATGCTTCCGTAGATAAACTGAACTTAGAGGAAACAATCTAAATCAACATGTCCCCTGTGTGAAAAAGTGATTCCCCCTAAACCACATAACTGCATTGAACCCCAGTCGGCCTTGGCAGATGGCCGCTCACACTGAGCCTGGTTCTGCTGGAATTTTCTTCCTGTTAAAAGGGAGTTTTTCTCTCCACTGTCGCTACAAGCATGCTTAGTGTGAGGGATTGCATTTGAGTCAGTGAGTACATGCAATCAACTGGTTTTCCTTAGACAACTTTGAATCAATTTGACTGTATGATGTGGTTAAACTGTAAAGTGCCTTGAGATGACGTGTTGTGAATTGGCGCTATAGAAATACCGTAAACTGAATTTAACTGATTGAATAACTGCATAGATCACACTTTCCGATTTTTACCTGTGTTTAAAAACAACTAGTGAGATTTTAATTGAATCTCTGTATTATAATATCCTGAAAAATGTTATAGAGTATTTTCATTCAACATTATTATGATATGCATGAGCTGATTCTAAACAAAAATCCATTGTAAAAGTAAGAATATGACTATATTCTGTGTTGAAAAGGCTGTTGGATTAGAATGGGTTAAGGCTTCTTTATATAGAGGAAAAGCCACGGAAAAATAATTTTAGGTTAAGTGAAGCAAGAGTCATTTTACTTAGAGATCAATTATTTTGAAAGGAATAAACGGAAGCATCTGTCTTTCTAGTTTCTGTCCTTTTTGCTGCTCAGGTCGACAGAGCCGAACTGGACCCAATTACGCACCGGTGACGGTCACATCCACAAACGCCTGGACTCTCCAGGCAGAAAGAGGGAGGCAGCAGCTTGTTTGGGGAAGCATGTGAACAAGAAATAGTTTTTGTTTTGTTTTGTTTTAATAAGGTGCAAACAGAGATCCAACTGAATCTTCGGGAAAAATTTGAATTTTTACCCAGGAATTTTTTTTTTTTTTTTTAAACAGCGTGGCATGGTTTCACCTGGCAACTGACTACGTGCCCTGAATGAAGAGGATGCGTTAAACTGGATGTTGTTGTTAAAGACATAGCTGTGATTAAAAACAATGACAACCGCTGTCAACACCTGTCTCCGAACGTGAAGAGGGTTCCTCTCTCTGTGAGGTACAAAGGAAGAAAAATGCGACGTTTTAGAGCTTCTGCTTCGGGTCATTTGAATCTCCAAAGCCCCTGAGTCAGGAATTTATCCTTCACCCCCCCTCCTTTCAGATATAGACTTGTTGTCTTCTGCAGCGCAGCGAGGAGGATGCTGTTTGCCCTTCATGTGATTGTCATGTCTTCGGCTTTTTTCAATCCCAGCTTCGCCTTCAGCTCCCACTTTGATGCAGGTAGGAATCAAACTGGGGCATTAATAAGGGCGTCAGTCAATCCGCTCCAGGCGGTTAATGCTCATCTCATTATTCCAAATGAATGCAATGCATTTGTCATTTGCACCCAGTTGTGTGTGTATATATATATATATATATATATATATATATACTGTTAGGCCCCAAAAGCTTGGTGACAAGAGGGTTAAAAGTTGAATCAGCATTAAATGTCCCACACATGCAATGCAGTGTGTATGTATTTGTTCAGTGCGTGTCTAATGCAGCGTTCTGTATGGTAAATGACGTTTAAAGTTTAACTGTCTGAGGTCAATGCTTCAGGCTGTCCTTTGGATTCAGTATTCAATCATCACCATGGAGTCAGCCGGATTGGATCCTCAGCCAAAATGAATCCAGGGGATGCTGCAGTGCTTTCCGACTGGTCATCAGGTAGCTCAGCTCTCTTACAGGCTGCAAAGGGCTCAGGCTGAATAACTGCGCACATGTAAACTGGACGAAAGAGAATCCTTGGACTGGACGCAGTGTGCTGTGCATACAAATGACAGTGACCCCACTGGCTCTCACGTTTCAAGCTTTATCTGTCCTTCCAATACTATCCTCTCTGAAGGATCTCTGATCTCATTTTGTCCAATTATTCCTTCCCTCCTCTACCAGGATTGTCCACTTTGGTATCTTTTGTCATCATATGGGCTGTTAAAATATTGAATATTGAATCATTCAAGAAATAGAAATAAGAATTAGCTGTTACATAAATGAACTTTCAATCCAAACAAATGCTAATCTTAATAGGTTGTTTTTTTAGGTTTTAAATTACAAGGTGTGGATGCTGAACCCTATTTCTGAAAACAGACCCACGTTAAACAGACCTACCACATAAGCAGTCCTCAATTGAATTATGGATAAAACAGCAGCTAACTATGACTCTCCTGGGTTGTCTTTAATTTAATTTAGCCAGTGTTGTCTTCCTGAGTGAGTTCATGGCTTTGGATAAATTCCAGCCAGGATAAGAAGCATTTCTTTTCACTCAGATGACAGTGGAAAAATTAATGCTAGATTTGGTGAGGGAGTTGGATAGCCACAGGGCTTGGATATGCATCTAAATTCTGAACTAATGATCCGGATTTCTAAAAAGAGCAGCACCTCAGTAGACCGGAGACTGTGTATTGTGTTTGAACTTAAAATCAATATTACCAAGGAGATGAAGGGGGTGTGTGTGAGACAGCCAACCCCATCTGTACAAAGAGGACAGGGAAATGCCCAAGTCCCTATAAGGGGTTGGACAATTTTTTGAGGAAATCTTTTTCTAGCTGGGCTAAAACTGCTTATTCTACACCTTTTCTGAATAAGAAAGTGTCTCTGGAATTTAACCGTGTTGTACAGCTCTGCATTTTTTTTTATTTTCACATGAACTCAAGGTTGATCAGACATCAAAGCTCACATTTAAACAGCTTTTGAACTTTTACACCCCTTTCGCTAACCTCTACAGCTGCAGTACGTCCCTGTGCCCCTGGCTGTGTGAGAGCATAGCTTGCTCTACAGTACCTCTGCACATTAGTCCAAATTTGTGGAAAAGAAATGTAAAGAAAAAGTTCCTCTTTACATTTGGAGGCATTATGTAAGGGATGCACAAACACAGTGTGAGGACACCAGATTTCCTGACTTTATTAGTCGACACAGGATAGAAATGGGATTTTATGATTGTGGCAGTTTGGCACTTGCCCCAGCCAGCACCTGGCATGCTATTACTTCAGCACCATGGAGAGCTCATAACATAAATTGAGATCACACTATGAAGAAAATAAACGTGGATTGGTTTTACCATCAAGGCAAACAGACAGCAGATTGACCTGGAAAGGAACTGTGTTATAGGAGCCGGCAATGCAGCACCGTGGGAGTTTTTCTTTCCGCACTGTCCTGCAATGCCTGGAGATGGCAGTGGTGTCATATATGGAATTTAGATTGATGCAAACAAGAAATAATAGATGCATGGTTCCTGTCCCTTATTCTGCATGCTTGGGGGGCAGGGCCTGTCCCTAGGTTTAGCAAAATGGAAACACCACAGGTTTTAACCAAGGAGCTTGCAACATTGAAGGGGAAACTACATGAGAAGCTCCTCCTACTGGCTCGGTCAGCACAAGCCATTGCATCCACCACTGACTGATTATTCATCTATCCATGTGTAACATGGAGCACTTCGGTTGCATAAGCCTGCCTCTGGGGAGAAGTGGGATAAGAATGAAGTGAATTTAACCAGTCAGTGGAACACTTCAATGTGTCCTCCCTGTGCTGGCAATGTAATAATGTGGTGTTAGTCGTTTGTTTTTAGTGCAGCAGATGTTGGACAGTTGGAATTCCTTCTGATCAAGATGATGCACACTGTTTTCTTTTTTTAAGAACTCAATTCTTTGTTGTTCCACATGCTTTATGTTTTTTGAAACCTAAAAAAAGCCTTTTTATATCACAATGCTTAATGGTTCGTGTGGGTGCATTTTTGTTGAATCTACTGTATGACAGCTTTGATGATTAAAAATTGTCTCAAAAACCATCCAGTGGTTGAAAAGGCAGGGTATTTGGAATTGCACCAGCATCTAATACCAGATATCTATATTGATAAATATTTATATTGTATAGATTCATTAGTCTGGTGGTTTTTAACCTTGGTCCCAACTGCCCTGACTACAGATGGGTGAATCACAGGTCCTCTGTAGCCCTTGATGTCTGCTGATGAGATAATTCAATTATTTGATTCAGGTGTTCTGAAGCAGAGAAACTTTTAAAATGTGCAGGAAAGTGGGTCCTGAGCACAGAGATTGAAAATCACTGCATTAGATACTTGGTTATATATTTAAAGGAATAGTAC